TATATTATACTATACCATTTTATATCATACTATTATACTATATTATAATTAAACATGGTACTAAACATGGCCAGAACTGTCACACAAGTGGCCACGAACAGTGAAAAATGCATATTTTACGAATCTTGTAATAATTCTCGAATCACTTTGTTACCCTATCGCAGGGTAAATATCGAAACTAAAGCCACATAATAACCAATCTGTTAAAACCTGTACATTTCTTACGTGACACAACAGTTCAAGAATATTCCTATAAATCCTTCAACGCGGTCAGAACCGGTACATCTGCCCTAACGAAGCTCGGAACGTGCGCGCGTACGATTGAAGGAAAGAAACTGGAAATTCGCGGAGCCGCGATTCGCGTTGCTTTCGTGCCGTGGACACGAGCAAACAACGGAACAGAATGAGATTGGCGAGAGGTTAGCGAAATAACGCTGTCGCCAGCAAAAAGCGAGCGCGCCCGTAGCGCGGCGTGACGAAGAAGGGCGCAGAAAAATCATCCGGGGACGGCTGGCGACAAACAAGTCCGTCGTCGTCGTCGTCGTCGTCCCGCGCCGGCCGGAATGAAAATGGCCGGTCCATTATTCGAAAGTAGACAGGAAGAACTGAAGGACTCGTCGGCAAAACTTCTCGGGGACTTTCGCAAGCGTCGCGAGTCGCCTCAGAGATTATCACGTCCTCTCTCACCCTTTTCCTGGACACCGGGTCTCTCCTTTTCTTGCTGCTCCTTCTCACCCCCTCGACGTCCTTCCCTCCCCCCCCCCCTCTCTCTCTCTCTCTCTGTCTGTCTTGCTCTCTTGCTCTCTTCCTCTTCCTCTTCTGGCTCCGTTTTCCGCGCGACTCATCTTGCATTCTACGAGGATTAAGGCTGACGGCATTCCCGGGTTTAATAAGTGTCGCCCGAATGACGTGAATTAGTCCAATATGTCTGAAGCTCCCGGTAGCAACAATTCAGGCCCGCTGCATCGCGTAATTAAAATTACTCCGCGCGTCATACTTTACGTCAGGGGCCGCTATGCTGCCGGAAAAGGGGCGTGATCGAGGGGGCGGGCGGCAGGGGGCTCGGTTGTCGCGACGTCCTCGCAGTAATTGAAGGCCCCGTGGGGGTGGCAGGCACGTAGCCGAGCTACGGGCTCGCGTCGGGCTCGGGCTCGGGCTCGGGACGAGCTGCGCCGGAGCATGCACGAAAATCGGCCGAGGACCCGAGCGAGGCTTCGAAAACCATCGCCTGTTTCAATGGCCTCCAGTACTTTTTTTTCTCGCTAAATTACATGCTGCGGCTGTAGATCATGCGTGCCGAGTTCTCTAGATTTGCAGTGTTTCAGATATTAGATATGTTCGACGAGTATACTCGTTACGGAGACGTGGCAGTATTTTGTCTCGGGACGAGTATACTCGTCGTTATTTAAATTGTAATTTTAGTGGAAACACGCATTTGTCACTTTTAATCGGTTAGCTGTGTTCGACGAGTACACTCGTCATGGAGAAGAAGTAGTATTTTGTGTTGGGACGAGTATACTCGTCGTTATTTAAATTGTAATTTTGGTGAAAAACAAGCATTTGCCATTTTTAAAAAGTTAGCTGTGTTCGACGAGTATACTCGTCATGGAGAAGAAGTAGTATTTTGTGTTGGGACGAGTATACTCGTCGTTATTTAAATTGCAATTTTGGTGGAAACAAGCATTTGTCATCTTTAAACAGTTAGCTGTGTTCGACGAGTATACTCGTCATGGAGAAGAAGTAGTATTTTGTGTTGGGACGAGTATACTCGTCGTTATTTAAATTGCAATTTTGGTGGAAACAAGCATTTGTCATCTTTAAACAGTTAGCTGTGTTCGACGAGTATACTCGTCATGGAGAAGAAGTAGTATTTTGTGTTGGGACGAGTATACTCGTCGTTATTTAAATTGTAATTTTGGTGAAAAACAAGCATTTGCCATTTTTAAAAAGTTAGCTGTGTTCGACGAGTATACTCGTCATGGAGAAGAAGTAGTATTTTGTGTTGGGACGAGTATACTCGTCGTTATTTAAATTGCAATTTTACTGGAAACATGCATTTGTCATTTTTAACCAGTTAGTCATCTTCGACGAATATACTCGTCACGGAGAAGAGGTAGTATTTTGTGTCGCGACGAGTATACTCGTCGTTATTTAAATTGCAATTTTAGCGAAAACACGCATTTGTCTCTTTTAACCAGTTAGCTATGTTCGACGAGTATACTCGTCATGGAGACGCGGCAGTATTTTGTGTCGCGACGAATATACTCGTCGTTATTTAAATTGCAATTTTAGTGGAAACATGCATTTGTCATTTTTAACCAGTTAGTTATCTTCGACGAATATACTCGTCACGGAGAAGAGGTAGTATTTTGTGTCGCGACGAGTATACTCAAATTTCAAGATAATATACAAGATAATATAATATTCAAGATGATATAATATTGGTCATTATATAATACATCCAAACTGCCATTATGTATCGTTCCTTTCTATAGCAGCAATTTGAATTTTTAACTCTTAGAGGTTAAATTTTTCCTGCGTTTTTCGTTTATTACGTATACTGTATATGTTAATGTTAAGTAAATAAGTAAATAGTAAAGTATAAAGTAATAAAATTGTTAATTTTATAAAATAAAACCGTCTTTTTGATCCAATCGTTATCTTAAACCTTAGCGTCGACGTAGCAATGAATCGCATAGGCGTAAGGACTAGCACGAGGAAATTCACGGCAACCCGAAATTTGGCATTCTAGGGAGGATTTTCTGTACGCGCGAGCAGCTTTAGTTTTTCTCGTTGGTAATAGATCGTTTATTTTATCGAAGATCAATGTTTGCCTTATCGTGGTCGGATCGCAAAAACGATGGAGCACAGTTTTAACGCGTATCCGTTCGTTTTTGTATTCTCCGTTCCGACGTCAGAGCAAACATTGTTCCCCCTCCGACCGAATATAATGCCGCGTGCTCGTGATCTCGAATAGAATATTCATTGTCTGCGTTTTCTCCGGGGAATACGGTCCCTCGAATTACAGCACGCGTGTAATACAGGGACTGCTCGTTATATTATATTAACGTTATTAAAATTATTTAGTTTCCAAATTATGCGCCTCATTAACCCGTATATCCGTGCCCTCCGCCCTCCAGCGAAAATCCTCGATTCCCAACACGCCTATAAAATGTTCCAAAGTCACTGATTAGATCTAATTAATTAGCCGCGGCCACGAAACGGAAAAACCAGCCGCGACAAGCAACCCCGGAATTACGCAGACATTAAGCTACCCACCTGTTCGTGTGGGTCTCTAGTTATTTTGTCAGAAAATACTATAATATTATGTAGTTCGAATATACATATATTCAATATATTTTCAGTACATATTTCAAGTGCTGTGAATCGAAAGTATTTGAATGGAAAATTCGGTTATTGCGCAGACGAAGTATTTTATTGAAGTATTTTTCAACAAATGTTTTAGGCATGTCTCATTTGTGCAACGTTTTTTTATATATAAATTATTAAATCCAAAGAATAATTAAATAGGTGTATGCATCAAATAATTAAATAGACATATGCATAAGATAATTAAATATGAATTGCCATAAAATAATTAAATATGTATTGTCATAAAACAATTAAATATATATTACCATAAAATAATAAAATTGATATATCCATAAAATAATTAAATAGACGTATCCATAAAATAATTGAATATATATTTCCGTATAATAATTAAAGTATATTGCCATAAATCTTTCCATAAAATAATTAAATAGATATACCTATGAAATAACTAAATATATATTTCCGTATAATAATTAAATATATATTGCCATAAACTAATTCAATATATATTTCCATAAAATATTTCAATAGACATATCCATAAAATGATTAAATATATATTTCCGTATAATAATTAAACAGCCATATCCGTACAATATAAACATAAATGTCCATTCCTCCGTAAAAAATTATTAATAGCGTTCCAATATAAATACAGTTGTCACAAAATTTTGTATAACAACTTCCTCGTTCCTACGATTTATTTATACTTATAATTTATTTCCACGCTCGACTAAAAATCAAGGAAAATATTAATAAACCTATCTAGGAAATTTATATAATAAAATTAAGTCCATAGCTCGGTATCTCTGCCGTGAATCACAGCGTAGCTGAAGGACCCTTTGCAGCAGTGCGCCGCAGACTGTCGGGATCACTAAATTATTACGCAGATATCGATACCGAATTTTTCCTCCGGATAGAATCGACCACGTTGCACACACGTGACACATTCGGATTGCATCTGCCGCAATCCCGACGCACCGACGCGACGCGGCGCGGCGCGACGAGGAAAAGTGGGTCGTTGCAGAGGGATACTTTTACGCGCGCGGCATTTAGGGACTTCCGACCGGGGACAGGAATCGATTCCCGATCGATGGGACGTGGTTCCGCAATGTCTTCGGCAGAGGCGTGCGGCCCGGCCGCCGCAGCTGGCGATCGTGCGGAAATTCGATTCGTATGCGATGCACCTAAGTGGCTCCGTTATTCATCGCTCCGCGAAAAAATCTCCCGGGACGGGATGTTCCATTATTTTGCGCGGCACATTCGTTCGAGGAAAAGATTTGCTCCGGGCGTCGACTTCTTCGCGCCGCGAATTTTTACGCGCGACGCGCGCGAAATTTTCGAGGAGAATAATTCGCGGAAATTAATGGCGAATTTTTACGATAAAAACTCGCCCGTTTCGTTCGAATCCGGGGAAGCGTTTCAATTCGCGGAAACATCCGCGCGATTATTAGATTAGAGCAATTACGATTCATGCGAATTTGCATTTGCGAATTTTGTTTAGTATTCCCACGAGTTTTCAACTGTCGTCGCAATTGTTTCCTGCGATCTCGGTGCGGGACTACTTTTTCGTAGAATTTTCTCACAACCGTCAGCCTCGGCCTGATTAATCAGATAGCTCCCGCGACAGAACAGAGCTGATTAAGAACCTAATCGGTCTCCTACCTTCACCGGCGACTCCTCCGGCACCTCGCATTCCTCCAACTGAAAAAACAAAGGGCAAAGATTAGATAGTTTACATTTTTCTTTTCTTGTTTACTGACTTATAGCAATCGATTTTCTCATGGAATTATAGGAATCGATTCGTTGACGGTTTATTGTAACATAAATAGTAATTTATACGGTTACATTAGATCATTGTATATTGTAGTATAGTATATAGTATGCAGAATGTTCCATAATTATGTTAATACTTGGAAAGGGATGATTCCTGAGGTCATTTTAAGTAACTTTTTCCTTTACGAAAACTTTCTCCGAGGCACCGCTAATGAGTTATTTACGAAAAACAGTTGGCCAATGAGAGGCGAGCTTGCCAAAGCGCTAGGCGGCCGAGCCAATCAGCGGAACTGGGCTCCGTGCGCTCGTTGGCTCGGCCGCCTAGCATCAGCTGAGCTCGCCTCTCATTGGCCAGTGTTTTTCGTTAATAACTCGTAAACGAAGCCTCGTAGAACATTTTCGCTAAGGAAAAAGTTGTTTCAAATGACCTCAGGAATCGCCCCTTTTTGTGTGCTAACATAATTATGGAATACGCTGTATAGTCGGATCTCTTTAACTCGAAAACTTCTGCGAAGCGAGCATTTTGTTCATTCCCCTTCCGCTACGTTGTAAAAACCTCTATAAATCGAAATAAAGCTTCCTTTATCACGAATTATTTTCCAAATTAATTCCAATTTATTCCAAATATATTTTAAAAAATTAGCTCCGGTGCGATCGCAATAATATCGGATTTAATAGGTGAATCCGTTCGTTAGGTTTAACAGGAAAGAAGTCAGTTTAAAAAAATATCCCTATAACGTATAATTTATTCACCGTTCATAACTATCTTGTTCTTTTAAAATAAATAATTTGTACAGAATTTAATGTACTTGGTACGAACTTAAATTACGTCGAAGTACACATTTTTATCGTCGAATTTCCATTTTATTTTTCAATCGCGAGTTCGGTGTTCGCTTCGAGCGCGACGCCTCGCGTTAAAATAAACAAAATAAAAATCGGCCGCTGTCAGCTGCAATTCGAGAAATCGTATTTTTAATCGGCGAGCATGTTCGCGCGTTCGGTATGGCGCAGCAAGGTCGCGTCCGAGATCCGATTACAGGAATTTCCCGACGCGTCCGACGCGGTCATCAGAATTTGATTTCAGATCCGAGAGAAGTATAGCCCGCGACAATAGCATTGCGGACGATCGACCTTTTGATAAGGAGAAAGAAGGTGGTCGGATCGGGGAAGAGAACGGGGAAGGAGGTACGTATATATATATATACAGTGATTCTCGAGGGAGGAGAGCCAGCGATCGCGTGACGATAGATTGAATGTCGAAAACGAGGAAGCACGTGTCTCTCCGCGCGGAATGGCAACTGAAATGTGATCACGATACGAAGAAGCTTATCGCCGGTTCCGAGCAATCTTCGACGAACTACGATCCAGGAGGATCCCGGCCGAGTTATTGAAATACAGGGTGTCCCAAAAAATGTCTCGCAATACGGAAATGCGGGTTAGTTGAGATCATTCCAAGTAACTTTTTCCTTTGCGAAAATGCAATCCGCGGCTTTGTTTACGAGTTATTAACGAAAAACACTGACCAATGAGAGGCGAGCTCGCCTAGCGCTTGGCGGCCGAGCCAATGAGCGCGCGAAGCCCAGTTCCGCTCACTGGCTCGGCCGCTTTGCGCCAGCATATCTCACCTCTCATTGGTCACGCCTTTTCGTTGATAACTCGTAAACAAAGCCGTGGATTGCATTTTCGCCGAGGACAAACTTACTTCAAATTACCTCAGGAGCCTCCCATTCTCGGATCGCAAGACATTTTTGGGACACTCTGTATAAGGCAACGTTCGCCGGTGATTAATCGGAGCCGGCGGCCGATGACGTCGCCGTCCGTCAGCCGTCCGAACACGTGACATTTAAATATCCCAACAGCAAAGACCGTGTTCGGAACTTCTAATTAACTACCCACCGGCCGGATCCTGCATTTGCAAATGAGTTCGGCAAAAAGTTTTCGATATTCCTGCATCGCGAAATCGAATCGTTTTACAAGCGCATTATGACGGCACGAGCGTGACTTTAACGCTAGATTTACGAAGCACAGAAAAAACAGCTGCTTCGTTATTAGTTTATAAAAGTAACTATAAGACGTTTGTTCTGATTTTTAACAAGTGTTATTGTAACATGTTTGCCGTAAGCAACGTGTAAATTGAATAAATCTTTGCGACATTAGTGACCCGCCATTTTGACGGGAATTATTTCGCGAAAATTATTTGCAAACTCATGCGAAATTGTTAATCCTATTAGACTGATCGATTTTGCAATGTTTCGACGTCGATCTGAATTCGATATTTCAGTTTTTGCGCGATCCGTTGATTTTTCATTGTTAACGCATATATTTGTCCCGACGAAAGCATTTCTTTTCCCGCTGATAATCAACAACAATGCAATAATACAATAATGCAATAACTTCTGCGTTTGGCGTCGTGTCGCGAGACGCATCTTGAGAAACCGGGCTAATAAATTTTCACACAGAACTTCTTCCTGATGAATTCGGAAGGCCGTTCATTAAAGTAACAAGTTGTACACGTTAATTGGAGGTTGCGATGTAAGAACGCGTTACACGGTCTAAAATGTGATTATATAGTGATATTACATGATCCACCCATGACTCGAGGAATTAGTGTACCGCAGGGAGCCCCATGAATATCCATAGATGCATTATACAATGTGTTTGCAACTCCTGCGATCTACGACGTGGAACAATAAACCGGAGCAGCTTCCACAGGGTGTACAAATATTTCTTCGATAAATTAGGTTCGGTATCGCGACGATATATGTATGTATGTATGTATGTATATGTATCCGTCAAGGACGTACTCGACGATATCCGAATGCGTTCAGTTCCTAGACCGCAGGCTTTATGCAGATTTTTGCACGGCGAAGATGCGAAGATGTCGTTTAAAACCGAAGAATTTATATTGGAATAATTATAAAATAATATTAAAATAATATTAAAATAATCGAAGAACATCGACATGTGATAAATTCTCTTCAATTGTCCCTCAGAAATGGACAATTTGAGAAAAGGGGATACGATTATTCGAGCATTTCGTGGCTCGTTTTTATAATTGTTGAAAATCGACGAAAATTGTCCATTTTTGTTTACATGCTAGAGAGACAATTGGAGAGAATTTCCTGTAGTATTTTCAACTTGTAAAAGGAATGAAATACCTGACTGGATTCGATTTCGTCTTGCAATTGATATGAACAATGTTAATTTTATTTAAAGATGCGTAAGTTGATAATTTAAAAAATTCTTATAAAATTTAGT